CGGCTGTGGCGGCGACGGCGGCGGCGCTCTGCTGCTGCTGCTGCTGCTGCTGGAAGTAGAGGTTGCGGACGCCCTGCGTGGTCTCCCAGATCTGCATCCACAGGCGGTTGGAGGGCCCGAGCTGCTCTGGCTGGAACCAGGCGATCCGGGGATCCATCAAACGCGGACCCGGCCCGACAGACGTCGCCCGGCCCGGCCCAGGCGGCGGCGGGCCCGGCGGAGGCACCCACCGGCTCCCAGCGCTAATGGCCGGCGAGGGGGGAGGCGGCCGCCGCACGGGCCGCGCGTAATAAAGGCGTGGGAGGGAGGCCGGCGCGGCGGCGGGCCGCGCTGAGGGGAGAAGGGCCGCGTGTTGCCGCCACCGCCGCCGAGGCCTACGAGAACGGCGGGCCGACGCCAGGCCCAGCCTCGCCTCGCTTCAGCGCGGCTGCCATTTGTTTCATCCCGTGTATACATTTAAATAGGTGTTCCTGTCTTGAGACAAACGGTCGTCGCTTTCCGAGCGGCCTCGCGTCAAGAAGAGGCCACACAGAGAGAGTTTGATATTTCACCCCCGTTATTTGTATCGCTGCGTGTCCCATTCGTCGGTCGTCTTCGCTCCCCCTGAGTGATCCGCCTTGAGGCCTAGTGAGAAAGGCGGACTATATAAATATAACGCCAATACAATAAAACCTAAAATACCAAGAGGTATTTTTTATATCACTGAGTGTCCCATTCGTCGGTTGTCTTCGCTCCCCCTGAGTGATCCGCCTTGAGGCCTAGTGAGAAAGGCGGACTATATAAATATAACGCCAATACAATAAAACCTAAAATACCAAGAGGTATTTTTATATCACTGAGTGTCCCATTCGTCGGTCGTCTTCGCTCCCCCTGAGTGATCCGCCTTGAGGCCTAGTGAGAAAGGCGGACTATATAAATATAACGCCAATACAATAAAACCTAAAATACCAAGAGGTATTTTTTATATCACTGAGTGTCCCATTCGTCGGTTGTCTTGACTTCCCCCTGAGTAATCCGCCTTGAGGCCTAGTGAGAAAGGCAGACTATATAAATATAACGCCAATACAATAAAACCTAAAATACCAAGAGGTATTTTTTATATCACTGAGTGTCCCATTCGTCGGTTGTCTTGACTCCCCCCTGAGTAATCCGCCTTGAGGCCTAGTGAGAAAGGCGGACTATAGAAATATAACGCCAATACAATAAAACCTAAAATACCAAGAGGTATTTTTATATCACTGAGTGTCCCATTCGTTGGTTGTCTTGACTTCCCCCTGAGTAATCCGCCTTGAGGCCTAGTGAGAAAGGCGGACTATATAAATATAACGCCAATACAATAAAACCTAAAATACCAAGAGGTTTTATTTTGACGCCCGGCTGTCAAAGAATAAGGAACCCAAAGCGGAATCCGGTAGAAAATGGCTTCAAGTCGCGCCTACTCTATGGCCACCCGACGGGTTTTTTTTAGTCAGTTAAAAAAATGTTTTCATTGTAAGACGCCTCAGCATAGAAATTGCCTAAATTAAATAATTACATGGCATTTTAAAAATAATAAAATCATGGAACTGTTAAAACAGGCACCCACTGTTAGGAGCACAGCTTCCCTTAAAATTTTGGGTTGGCTTTTTTTTTTTTTAATTAAACCAGTTTAAATACTCATATTCTCTGATCCCAAGTATAGATGCAGTTCAGGTTAACCCACATATAGTTTTTATTTTGTGTAGTTTTAGACAACTTTTCAGACTTTTTTTTTTAAAGTTTAAAACGGCAGATTACAATGAGGGGGGAAATCCAGGGTAGTTGTAAAAAGACGCACAAGCTACGCCCACTTTTTCTTACCAAATACTTTGAATATCAAAAGCCATTGAAATTCATAAACATAAACACAATTTCAACAGGAAAGAAGAAAGTTTAAAAATAAATAGGGCATGGTTTCCGGTCCTGAAAACACCAACACTACAGATAAGATTAGAATTTCAACAGCCAATCCATATGCAAAAGAACCTCCTCAGGAAGGCTCCTCCATTGACATGTCACAGCCTGGGAAATTCCTACAAGATAATGACTCAGCCCTACCCCACCTTCCTGAGTAGATATAAATTACCTGCCTACCATTTTTCTTCTCACATTGACACAGAAATTACTACGTCTTTCTGTATGATACCTCTGAGGATGCCAGTCACAACTGCTGGCGAAACCTCAGGTACTACAGTGCCAAGACCACGGCCATACAGCCCGGAAAATCTACAACTAATATCAATAGCCTCATTCCACTTAAATATAATTTAAATTGTAAATGTTTGTATTTAAATTCAATTTTTAAACTCTCATACTCTCATCCTGTCGGCCCAAATTGTTACTGGTTCTGAAAACACACTCTCTCGCTACAGTGTACAATTTTTAAAAAATCAAAATAGTCATACAAACATGCGGCTCCCTTTCCCTCTTGCCATTATGATGATATTTCAGGACACTGAAATTAGGCCATATACAACAAAGTCACAACATGGGGATCTAATCGAGTCCTACACTAACCATCTTGTAAAATGTTTTTACTTGTGTCAAAAGGGCCACCTCCACCCCCTTACTTTCTTTACCCCAAAAAAAACCATCCCCCCCCCCCCCAATCTTCTTAAACTGAGTCTTGGTTTTCAAGATATTTCACCTTTAAAAAAATTGTTGTGTCCTGGAAACGCCACTAGGCAGTAGCCAGGCGAGCCGAGCTTGATCCCTAATGAACAGTGGGGACTGGGCTCCTAAAGTCCACTAGGGGAACCAATAGAAACCTTGGCGGGAGAGTCAAACCCTCCAATGGAAACTAGGGGTGTCCTCTGGGGCTATGTATATAGCTGGCCATTTGGCCATTTGCTCTCTGTCTTATGTGTGAAGTACTGAGTCAACGCGTGTTTCTTATGTCGTGGTCCGAGTCGTGATGTATCGAACCGAGTACTTTACAAAAATACACAGATTTTATAGTATCAAAATCACTATTGTACTTTTATCATGAAATCAAGTGTGATGTAATGTGTTGGAGTAGGATTTGGGAGACCCAGGTTCGTATCCCACTGCAATGGAAGCTTGCCACGTGACCGTGGGCCAGTCACACACACTCAGCCTAGTCAACCTTACAGGGTTTTTGTGAAGATAAAACAGAGGAGAGGAGAACAGTGTAAACACAGTGTAAACCACTTTGGGTCTCCATTGTGGAGTCAAGAGTATAAATTAAATAAATAAAAATCATATGGGTTATAACTAGAGATTAAGTTTATTTGGCTAGACCAATCAATCAAAAACACAGTTGAATATAAAGACATTTGTTTCAGTCCCAACAATTAGGAGACGCTTTTTTCTTCCTTAATTTTATTCACCAGTGTTACTATGTATAAAAATTGTCTCATAAAAACACACTGCTCTTCTAACGTCAGAACTATTAGTGCATTCACCTAAAAATGTAATTGTGCTTTTTCTTCCAGGATTTGTGTGTGAATAAAACAGTAATCTATCCAGTTACATCAACGGATAAATCACTAAAACTGTTTCAAAGGTGAGATAATCCTAGTCACAACCATTCTTCTGTCATTCGTCTTCTCAATAGCTTTTCCGTCTCCACAAACCATATTCCCAACTTCCGGTAGGAAGCCCAGGACACTGAGGCAGAGAACCTACGTGGCATCCCATCCACATACACACGTTGCCTTCTCCCAGGTCCGATCGTTGTTGTTTCGAGGTCAGTGTTGTCTTGTTTTGACTGGCAGTGGCTCTCCCAAGTCCTGCAGTAGAAGTCTTTCCCATCACCTACTTGGCCCATCTACACCGCCTCCTAGTCAATTCAAGGTGCTGTTGTTGACCTTTGAAGCCCCACATGGCTTGGGATCAGTATCCAGGGCTATTTTTGGGCAGGAACGCACAGGAACGGCGTTCCGGCTGGCTCCCGAGTTGGCCACACCCAGCAAGAACTCATTAGCATAACAGGCCACGCCCAACAGCAGAAGCTCATTAGGATTGGCTACATTAGGGGTGTGTGGCCTAACATGCAAAGGAGTTCCTGCTACAAAAAAAGCCTTGGGTTTTGACCACAAACAAGGTAAACAGAATAAGAAGCAAAAGGTGGGTGTGGCTGGATGACCACACTTCTGGTAACATGGGAATGCGGCTTAATATGTTAATATGATGTGCTATCAGGGGTGTGGCCTATTATGCTAATGTTCCTGCTGTTGGGTGTGGCCTATTATGCTAATGAGTTCCTGCTGGGCTTTTTCTACACAAAAAAAAGCCCTGAGTATACCGGAAGGCCTGCCGACTTGCTTACGCACCTACCTGACCACTGCTTTCACCTTCCAAAGCCTTGCTGAAACTGTGCTTGCCATCTGAGATTAAGCAGAGGGCAGCCCAGCCCAGGAGAGGGCCTTCTCAGTTGTGGTACTGGTACCTCCCCAAGGAGACTAGTCTGCCCCTTTCTCTTGCCATCTACTGCCAGTGGGTGAAAACCTGTTTAGCTTGGCATTCCTCCAGTGATCCCTTCTTCCTTGCCCAGTGTTTTAACCACTGCTTCTATGTTTGTGTGTGTGTATTTTAGCTTTGGTTTTGTTTTAATGATGTATTTTTGTTTTAGAAGAAGAAGAGATTGGATTTATACCCCGCCCTTCACTCGGAGTCTTAGAGTGGCTTTCAAACTCCTTTCCCTTCCCTTCCCCTCCCCACAACAGACAACCCTGTGAGGTAGGTAGGGCTGAGAAAGCTCTTTCTAGAACTGCCCTTTCAAGGACAGTTCTGACAGAACAATGGCTTGCCCAGTCATCCAGCAGCTGCGAGTGGAGGAGTGGGGAATCAAACCCGGTTCTCCCAGATTAGAGTCCATACAACCACTACACCAAACTGGCTCTCTTTTAATGGTTTCTAAGATGTGAATTATGTATGTGGCCCTGATGAGAACAGAAAAACGGGGGGTGGGTAAATTTTGTAAATGGCCATTTCGATATCACTCAACCTCACTTTTAATGTTTTTGTTTATGCCTATGTAATTTTTTTAGTATATAAAAGGTACATTGTATGTTTCAGCCGCTGCTTTCGTACACTCGCCTGTAGCCAACCATTAATTAGTCATTTTGTATCACCCCCAAACCAATCAGTTTTTAGTTCCAAGCCTCAACTCTGCCTCCCCCCGAAATAATGAACAAAACATTCCATTTGATTATATGTAGTGGCTGAGGATAAGGTCCTTTGATTGTCCCCATTGCCTCTCCA